GCCTTGAGCGCAAGCTAAGAATCTGCTCGCAGGAAGCTATCAATGTGAAGCATGGATGTTCCGGAAACCGGGCGACGGCGACGGTATCTTCCCTGAGCACAGGGAAGAAGAAGACGAGCCTGCCTCCCATGACGAGCATTCGTGCAGCGAGTTCAAGCAGATCGTGCACGCATTCCGCTAAGCTGTAAGCCGCGGTTGACGGAATGTGGTCGAAGCGTTTCTCTTCGGGAACCGTGTATGGGTTGACGACACCTTTGAGTAACTTTCGGCCGCCGGATTTGCGTCCTCCGGCACGAACGCCATATGGGGGATCACAGATGATGGCGTCGAATATCTTGTTGGAGGAAAAATTGTGATGGTGAGTATATGAAAATGATGCAAGGAAATTATGCTGTATAAATGGTATAAATCCATGAGAATTGAGTGGTAGCAGATCTCAGTTATGCGGCATGAGAAAGACTCAATGGCTTAGAGTAAGTGGGACGCTGGAATATTTGAATTAAGGCAAGAAGCCATTTTGGTTTTCAGAGTCCGAGGGGTAACGCTCTAATGGTGATATGCAATAAATTTGTTAAAAAAGAAAAAAAGTTTCAAAGCAGGACAGCATTTTTATAGCCATCGAAGTGCTGTTCTTTTTTTTTTGTCTTATTCTGTGTGTTTCTGCACCCAAGACATTTGCCAATGATTCTATTTCACAGTCCAATTAAAAGAATAAAAAAAAAGAAAATTTAAATGCATACCATTTAATTCCTGTGTATTTACATATCTAAAACCTATACATTAATTTTTGCATACATACCACCCTATATATTTACATATCTAAAACCTAAACTTAATTTTTACATACATACCCCTTATTTATGCATGAAAAAGGTGTCTTTTACATTTTTTATTCAAGTTAAAATGGTGGTAGTTTTATTTGATATGACAGATTTATATAGAATAAATGTAAGAAATGAAGTATGTTAGAATATGTAAATACATAAGAATTGAGTGGTGTTGTATGTAAACGCCCCTAAAAAAAAATGAGTCAATAGAAGAAAATCCAACTCCACACTAAAAAAGTGCCCATGATCCTAAAGAGATCTAACGGTATCGAAGGTCTGTCAGACGATCAATGGTCTGATGACCGAAGGCCTGTCAGACGACTGGAGGTCTGCAGACAACCAAAGATCTGCCATACGACCGAAAGGCCATCCAAGCAGACAAGAAACGAGCATCCACGCTAACGAAAGGACAAATAGTTTAGTACCCCCAACAATCTCATAATTATCAACGTGAGGCTCTATTAAAAACTCCTCCAAAGATCTCATGAAATCACTAAGGAAAAAGCAAGCCGACCGGCCACCCTAAGGACGACCGACTGCCACTCTCAAAGTCAACTGGCTTACTACAAAAAAGGTCAAACGGTACCCAGGCAAGATAGCCGATCGACTTGAGCACCTACCCACCAAAAGGTCTAGGTATACAAAAAAATGCTAGAATTAGTTATAAATATAAAAATGCACGACAAAAGACAATACTGTCGTAACACCCCTATCAAAGCAGAAGCAAACATGTAATTTTCCACCTTTGACCCTCTATATTCTATAAATAGGGGGACCTTAGCATGTATTAAAAGCCTTTTGGCTCTCTCTCTCTATACACATCTTATGTAGAGAGAGATCTCCCCGCTTCTCTCTTGTAACCTCTATTTTTCATATATAAAATGGGTCAAAGAGCCCAAGAATATCTACTACGGGACAAGTCTGTGTACTCTTTTATTTCTTTCTCTCTCTCTACTTCTCTCTTAAGATTCCTACTACGATTCTTGGGCATGCCTCACAAGAGAAATCTGGATTCAACACCAACGAATTTGATAGGTTGGGTTTTGAAGAAAGCAAAATTGAGAAAAAATAATAAAAGAAAGGTGTAAATAGGGATCAAAATTGGGTTAAATATATTAGTAATAAAATACGGTTTTCAAAACAAAAATTTTTGCATAGGGCTATCAATAAAGCTCATCGTTCGTGAATAACTCGTGTTCGATTCATTTGTTAAGCAACAAGCCGAACACAAACAAGTTTTTTTAATTCGATTTATAAATGAACCGAATATGAACAGATTTTTTTTCGATCACGTTTGGCTCATTTGGGCTCAAATTATTTAAAAATAATAATAATAAATAAAAATTAAAATAGTTATACTGTACAAATATAATAAATAAGTTTTAAATATAGATACGTAAATACTACATAAAAAGTGGCTGATATCTATGTAAACGCCCTTAGAAGTTTTACAAATCAAGTCTCCCCTATTTGTTTTTCTTTATTTATGTTTTAGATATGTTAATACATAAGAATTAGGTGGTATTTATGTAAATGCCCATAAAAAATTTCCCCAAATCTCACCCCGCTGTAGCTTGCCCCACGCTCCCGCTCGAACGGAGTGTAAATATATAAGAATTGGGTGATATGTATGTAAACACACCTAAAAATTTTTGGTTTTTCTTTTTCATGTCACGTTTTTTTTTTTCATGTCACGTCTTTCTATCCCATGGTCCTACCTTCTGAAAAAACAAAATTTTTTCTAGCCCACATGCCCTACCTTAATTTAATCCCACATCAAGAAAAGTTCATTTTTAAGTTCCCTTTAAATATTAAACATAGAAGAAAACTTCAAAAAATTGTAACAAGCAGCAGTAAAAGCAAGTCTGTTGGTTTTATCAAACCGAACACTAGCCAATTTCGAACATCTCAAGCCAAACACAAACATTTTATTCATGAACTATTTCAAACAGGAGAGACTAATTCGAGGGGAAAAAACTTTATAACAAGCCTTACACGAAGGGTGCTCTCCTACTTATGCCTATGTGATGCAAGACTTATATGGTTCACAAATACAAATTTAGGATGTTAACTAAAAAAAAACTGTAAATAATTTAGGATGTTAAGTCACAAATTAGAATTTCCCAACTATTAGTTTAGGCAAAGATTAATCCCTTTTGCACCAAAAAAAAAATGTTCAACCTGCTCCAAATAACAATTAAAAGGACATCAAATCTTAAATTTTGCAAGCAACTCAAAGAATAAATAGAACAATGCAGCACTTTATAATTCATACAAGAAAAATAAAACAATAAGAAAAAAAAAAGCACCAGCAGGATTAGGCTGGGCATC